GGGTCCCAGCTCCAGCTGCCGCAGCTGAAGGCCCTCCGCCCGCTGCTCTGGCTGAACTACCTGTGCCAGGGGGAGTGCGGGTGTCTGTGTGGGCATCTGGTGTGTGCCTCGTTAGGAGAGTCGTAATCTAATCAGTATTTATTAAGGAGAATAACCACAGTCTGTTGAGAATTTCCTCGTGCCCACGCCGCGATGCCCGCCCTAGACGCGGCCACCCTCCCCGCGCCGCCGCGGAGTAGGTGCTTCTGTGTTCCTTTTAGATGCGAAAACCCCGGCTCCAACGTATTCAGCTGCTTACCCGAGGAGGCCCAGCTGGGGAGTGGCAGACTGGACGCTTTTAGCCACTTCGGCCGACTAGGTATACTCAAAAGTGCTAGACAAATGTACTTAAAAGCTCTGGCAGAGGAAAAGTAGGCCCTTCCAAAAGATTTTCACTGACCCGACACCTCTTCCTGTGCCCCTGCTGTGTTTTCCACATCTCTTGCTGGTCCTTGGCTGTCCTTTGCGACAGTGCAGCCTGGCACCTCGACTGTCATCACTGTGGCCGCTGCAGGCTGCACTTTCTCAGAGATGGTGCCCTCCCTGCTCTGCGCTACGTCCCTGGCCTGTGAGATCCCACACTCCTGAATTTTAGTGTCTTTCCCTGCTAACTTTAGTTTTTGTTTCCTTAATGGTTTTTCTGTGTGTCTTTTGGGTTCAATTTTGGCCTAATCCTTTGGACTCTTCGTATACCTTTTCCGCTTGGCTATAAAGGCAAATTGAGCTGCATTTAAATAAATAAAGCATTTCCCAGCTCAATTTCAGTTCATAAAATACGCTGTATACTGGTCTTTGTAGAAATCACAGTGGTTGAATTATTGAGGTCTGAAAAGCAGCTGCTTTCCATAGATGCAATTCATTTAGTATGCAGCCTGGCCCCAAATCACGTCTATGGCAGTCGGCATCTATCATATGCGGCACGCAGCTAGAGAATTCTGATTCATTGCTGGCAGCCAGGGGCCACGCGCAGACGGCCGTGTATAATGAACCGATGGGGATGTTGAAAGGCAAGCGTCGACTGTATTACTTCTCAGTAATGCTACTGACTTGATAATGACCCAGCTCTCTGATGAGGATATTGAATTCTGCTCAATAGCTTTCACTTCCTTCTTTTCCCTGGAACACTTCTCTCCTTTTCAGTATGTATAGAAAATACTTTCCACATGACCTAGTCTCATCTCCCAACTTTCCTTTGTGTAGAGAAATAAGCTTTCCTCTAGTCCTCCCGGATCAACTTCCAATCCAGTCAGCCCAGCGTTTCATTGTAGCTTTTCTCAAGCTTCATATAGCCTATACATTTTGGCTTATTTCCAAGCAAAGAAATATATTTACCATATCACGGAATTCGATCTGGGCTCCAGCTTCCAGTAACTTCTCCACAATTGCCAAATGTCCTTCCAGGCACGCTCTATGCAGAGCTGTCCGTTTATACTGTCAGGATAGAGATTAAAAGAAAGAGAAATGCAGAGAAAAATGTACATAAATCCTTTATAGGGGGTATGAATCTGAGGACTCTGAGGACCTAACTGGTAGAAACTTGACTGCTTCTTTATGAATTAGAAATGTCAAATTCACCAAAATTGCAGAACTAGAACAGTTATCCTGTAACCGAGATTTGAGCTTCCTGCAATGTACATTTTAAGTGCCTGGAAGTCTGCATTGACGGGTGTGAACTGGAAGGTTAGAGACTACCTAAATGCTGATTTTCCCTCTCTTTTGCACTGTCATTGTTTGTGTAATATTTGTCATGCAGATCAATTTTGTTCCATCTGGGACTGTTGCTAAGTCAAATTTCAAAAAGGATTCAATTCATTTCAAGAAAACGGAAGACTTATTTTTCATTCAACTTCAGAAATGATCCCCCATTTCAGTTCATGGGGGAGAAAATACAAAAAGGATTAGTGATTTCTGGTAAATTGGCTTCATACAAATAGGTGAATAGACTTCTAAAGCTGCAACAACTTTAGGCATTATTTCATTCCAGTGACCTCCCCTTACAGATAAGGAAACTGAGGTCCAGAACCTGCAAAGGGGCAGCTGAACTTCAGTCTCTAAATTCCCTGTCTAGAGCTGATGTGTTTGGGTCTCATCAGAGATGACGCTAATAATATATTGCTGCAAAGGTAATTTGTTGGCCTGGCCTCATTAAAAGTCCATCCAAGGATCTAGGAAGCTAAAGACGAGTGAAAAATCAGTCAGAAATTTAAGAGTGCAAAAAATGATTCAACGCATAGCACTCATCCAGGTTTGTTTGTTGGGGGCGCGGGGTGTTTTTCTTTTTTTGACTACTGTACTCTCCTGTCATGCTGCTGGCATATGTGGCAACAGCTGGGGAAACTGTTTCAGGTGGATTGATTTTTGGCACCACATTAGCAAGGCTGCAGTAAAGCAGAAGAAACACGAAATTAATGAGCTGGATTTTGCAGTGCTGTGCGTAAGCCTTACCTCATCACAGGCATCCGGATTGTTCTTGTCCGACAAGAACTTTTCTACGACTGGCAGTTTGTTCTCCAGGGCAGCCTTCAGAAACTGAGCCACATCCACAGGTTCTGTCTAAAGCCAAAATAGGGCGAGAGCTACTGTGAGCGACACAGCGCTCAGTCACACCCTCCAGATATTTATTCCCCTGTAGCCTCCGTGGCGGGCGTGGGAAAATGCATAACCAAATAGCCCTTACGATGATTTCAGGCTCAGCTTCCTTCACAACCGGAACTTTCGTTTTCCTGTATTTTTTCTTTTTCTTCAGTTGAATGATAACTTGAAGGTCTTCTAAGTTTTCAAGCTTTGACCTTTGTTCTAGTTTTTTCTTCTTGAGCTAAAAAAGAAGTTCGGTTTCAAAATACACTGGGTTCTACTGACAAGCACTCTGGTTGTGTCTAAACAAAATCTGCAAGGCCTGAGATAAGTGTGTGAACAGTTTGAGCAAAAAAATTAAAAAATAAAACTTTGATCCCAATTTTATGATTTCTTATTCAAGGATTTGGGGGTCTGGTTTTCCAACTAATTGCCTTCATCTTCATTCTCATGCATTGAGCATCAGCTTTTGACTAATTGGAGACAGGATCTAGTCTCTAAGTGATGATTTTATAATTACTGCCATAAACCCCATATTTCTGTAGAATTTTTTTTTTTAATCATACTCAAGAATGTTTTTTAACCCAAAAGGATCCAATGATGAGCATTAAGCTTTGAAATATCAATGCCGCCCTGCCGGGTGTGGCTCAGCCGTTGAGCATCGACCTAGGATCCAGGAGATCGCGGTTCGATTCCCGGTCAGGGCACATGCCTGGGTTGCAGGCTTGGCCCCCAGTTGGGAGCGTGCAGAAGGCAGCCAGTCAATGACGACTCTCTCATCATTAATGTTTCTATCTCTCTCTCTCTCTCCCTTCCTCTCTCCGAAATCATTAAAGATATATTTTTAAAAAAAAAGAAATATAAATGCCAATCTCTGTCAGGCTGTCCACTAAGCAGGGCCCATGAGACAAGCTGTCCTGGGACTACAGCTAACTAATGCATGTTTTATCTGCAGTTAGTAAGTAACGAAACTTCACCCAGCAGCTCAGACCTTATCAGCACAGATAGTAGACACAGTCAAACAATGGTCCGTGGACCACAAACTACATTATTGGGAAAAAGAGGTCTCTCTTGCTTGGGATAAACTAGATGCACATAACATCAGAAACTCACTGGACACGTTTCTCTTTCCAATTCTCTCAAGCAGAACATGGTCAAAGAATGGTCAGTCATTGATTCGGAATCTGGAGGGCATAGTCTTGCTAAAGAATTCTTTCCCACAATGTGCCCCATAGAAGTTGTCTCTTTATGGGTTCATATTTGGTAAAGAAACATCTTTTAAATGGTGGCATTTATTTTGTTTCTCTTTGCTTCTTCCTGCTTGGCACCTCCTTTCTCTACTCCATCCCCAACCTCCCATTAGTGGATTCTATGGAAGGTTCTTACCTCTGCCTCCCGTTGTTTCTCAATTTTCCACTGTTGCTCCGCAAGGCTCACGGAGTGGGCTGGAAGTGTTTTCAGGTCCTCTTGCTTCTCCAAGGTAACAGCAGCTTCATACTCTCCATCTGTGAAATCCTCAGGGAGGAACTCCCCAGTGTCCCCACTGCCATTCTTCTTCCCTGTGACCTATGAGGGAAAGAGATGGCAGGGTCAGAAGTATCAGGGCCCTGTCCTGGGGTCATCCTCTGCGGAGGATGCTGCAGGAGGGCCCGGTCCTTCCTGGTGACTGCCGCCTCCATGCAGCTGTGAGATCTCAGCTGGGACACATTGCTGAGATGTTCCAGGATTACCTCCAGGTACTTGTCTTGCTGTTTTAGCTAAATCAAAGTTTAGGTTAGATTGCTATGTAGAAATCCACTTTTAATCCACATAATCACACTTCTCCTAGGAAAATGTCAACCTCCTCCCCCGCCGATTATTTAAAATTCTTTCATTTTAGGTACTTTTGATAACTCTTGGCCTCAAGTTGTAAAGTTTTCAGACATATGTTCTTGCCATATAACGTCTTCCCTGAGGCATTTTGATAATGACATGTGATTCTACCTGTATAATAAACCCAAAGCAAAAGGTAATAAATAGAAATATGTAGAAAACTCATTGCTGCCAGCTCCATTTTTCCAATTTCACTTATTTTATCACGTGAACCAACCATTTTTCACATACAACATTTTTGGAATACCTGTGCATTACACCTGAAAGGAAAGGACATCTCAGTTTCAAATTAAAACCAAGACTGAACCAGTTTCCACTGCATAAAGTAATGTGTCTCACGTACCAGCTCCTCTACTTTCAGCATCATCACGTTGGCCTGAAGTTTGTCTGTAAGCTTTCCTCCTGCAGAATGAATCCCTTCAGTTGGCCTTGCTGTGCTCCTCCACAGGGGTCAGCTTATATAGCCGGGGCTGGGTGAGATAATCTTCCAACCTGGGAACCCAAGTAACGCCCCCGCCCCCACCAGTGGCCAACTCAGAGGCAGGTGAATTTTCATTCCAGACTCAGTGTCTGGGAAGCAGAAGAGGGAGGAGATGACAAGCAACCCCTCTGAATATGTGAATCAAGAGGAAATGTGAGATCAGTGACCGCACCGCTCAGCAATGCAAGTCATTCTATTTATCGGGAAGCCAGGGGACAGCTGCCTGCTGATATTGCACCACAACACTGCTCTTTTGCCTTCTTTGTCAGCTTTCATATGACTAACTCTATCAAGAAAATGTAAATACCCGGCACATCACACTCCCAGTAATATCTTTCTGATAACCAGACTTATCAGCACTTCACTTGGGGGAAGTGTGACTTCAGGACATCCTATTGCCGCGGCAAACAGCCTGCGAGGAGAGGATCCGAATCTGCAGGAACTTTGTCTACATCTGTTGGAATTCTGTGGAGTGATGTCTGGGGCTAAAAAGGCCCCATGACATGCCATCTTCCCATCATTATAAAAAATTGAAAGCAGTCCCTAATGCACTTTTGTTTTATGGCGTCATTGGCCATAGTTAGCATATGACATGCTTACTGTCTTCTAAAGTAGCATACTTACTGGGGCAACTTTTATTCAAAAAGGATCCAAATGCTCCCGAGATAAATTATATGAGACCAGTTATTTGCAACAGTATGACCTTGATTAGATCATAGGGCCAAAGTTCTCAGATGCTGTGAGTGAAAGACACCTATGGGAGCCTGTCAGAAATAAAGATACCTGGGCCCCTCTCCAGAGCATTCTGAGTCCATTTGTGGTGAGTGCTAGGAATCTGTATTTTTCAAAGCACTCAGATCGTTCTGATGCCTCAAGGTTTGAGAGGCATTGCCAGAGAAGCAGAGCTCTGCTTCGGGCAGGGGTGAAAAAGACTTGTTTCAGGTTTCTCATCTCTAGGGTGTCACATTATGTAAAAATATTTAGGCCTCTTCATAATTGAAGGGGAAATGGGTTACTATCTTCAAAGCCATTTAAAACCTTTTTTTTTTTTTTTCTTTCAGTAAAAGGAAGGAAGGAAGAGTATTAATGAGGGGAGTGTTAATTAGGATGTTATATTGACCTTTCTGTGTCTATACTCCTTCAAACTTACCCACCCAACAAACCTGGCTGCCATTCTCTCCTGCCCTTTATCCTAATTAGCCTGTGGGTGGTTTCTCTGGAACTTTCTGAAGGAAATATTGACTCCCCAAACTGAACACTGGCCAAGAGGGACCTTCCCAGTAACTCTTATCCATGTTCTGGTCTCATAATGTTCTCTCTTAGAAGGGGTTTTATTTAAAGGAAATTTCCTGGTGTTTTCTTTGAAGTGGAGACAGCTGTAACCATGTTCATTGGTCTCTTTAAGTGAGAAGTAGCCATTTAAGCTTTTCTTACCATTGCTTATGCCTTTTTGTTCCAGGTCAGGCTCAAACTGAGAGGAGTGTTAGGAGATATCTTGGGGGAAGGGTCATGGGTCGCTTAAGAGTCTTTTTTTTGGTATTATTTTTATTATTGATTTTAGAGGAGGAGAGAGAGAGACATTGATTTGTTGTTCCACTTATTTATGCATTCATTGGTTGCTTCTTGTATGTCAGGACAATGCTCTAACCAACTGAGCCTGTTTATGTCTTCAATATGGAATCCCAGAGCTATTGGTGCCTTCAAAGTTCAAGCATGACCAATACTTTCGTTTCATACAGAGACATTAAGTAACTTGCTGTAGATACACAGCTCATTGCTGGATGCAGGTTTAAGAGTTTTGATTCCTTCCAAAGGATGCAGAGAATCACTGAGCTCAGAGCAGATTTTCTAGGGCATTTCATACCGAGGCCCACTCATGGCCCAACCAAAACTGATGAAAAGGCGCTTCAATGTTCTAATCACCTGAAAGAATGCAAGAAAAAGTGGGTGAGATGCTCACCATGCCCATTCCTTCTTCTAGTCACCTAATCATGCCCTCAGCCCTGGCTGGCTCTGTACGGAAGGCTCCAGGAAGGCTTGAAGAAAACTTGGCAGAGGATGATACTTGAGGGAGCATTGATGGAATGGGCTGAACTTAAAAAGGGAGCAAGGTGGGCAGATCCTCAGACATGTTCAGGGCCTGCAAAACCACCGCTGGGCCTCTCCTTTTCCCATGTTGATACCGTTTGTCATAAAATATGAGGGGATTGTAGGTACATTTAGCTCCCTAACAACACATAAGACAAAATTGTATTTTCAAATTATTATTCATCAAAATTGAAAACAAAATTTTGGGGCTAGAAGAAAGTTCTCTGTCACTTGTTTTTAATGAGCTTCCTTCCTTAAAAGTTCCCCTAATGGTATAACCTTTTCTTATCAAGATGAATGGAAACCACAAAACTCCAGGTTCATTCCACAGTCATTTAGCAACCAGTGCCAACAAGCCTTGACCAGAATGAGCAGGGGAATGGGCCCTGAGCTTTGCCAGAGTTGTCTTGCGAGCATTTCCCCCTCCCTGCAGGATTTGTGCATTTCAGCAGGACCATAATTATAACCTTATTTACAGCTGGATAAACTGGGAGGAGAGAAGCAAGGCCTACACCACTTATTGGTGTCACCCAGGGTTTGAAAGATGTGCCCAGATGTCACAAGTGTTTATGTGCAAGGGCTCAGCTATGAGGACAATTTCATCTTTCCAAATCTTAAGATACTTCTACTCAGACATTTTATTTTTTTACTGTATTTTCTTAACTATATGAGTAATATATAAATTTGTTTTGTTAAAAATGGAATATAAGAAAGTTGCTTAATTGCAACCTTACTGAGTGTTGATTTGGTACTTGATTTCCCCCCTCAATTATATGTCTTAGAGATTGTCTCCTACCAGCACAAGCAAATCAATCTCATTATTTTAAACAACTTCATGGACTTCTTTCCATGTGTGGATATACCACCAGTGCCTGTATAACCACTCTCCTATTTATGGACATATAGGCTGTTTTTCAAAACAGTCACTTTTATGTGCTACAATCAAAGGCACTTGTTAGCACATAAAATTTTGTCATTAATACCCCTTGTCCTTAGAACACCTACCTTTATACCAAAAGGAAGGACTCCGAGGCCTGGAGCCAGATTCTGACTTAGGAGACACCTTGTTCCGCTCTTGCTCTTATAATTGCTCATTTTGCCGTCCCTCCTAATAGCCTTCCCGGGCCCAGCTGCTACTCACCTTCCTTGGCTCAGAAAAGTAGCTGACTGTGCCTGACTAGGAATGCAAGCATCCCTACTGCCAAGCCCTGGTTCAGTTACACGCTCGAGAATGCCAAAGGGAGGTCACAAAAGTGAAGCAACAAGGTCCAAGGTTGTTTCCCCTCCCCCACCAGCCAGGCAGTGAATCACCTGTACTAGTTGAAAAGCCAAAAGTACCGAGCCATTCTGAGCAGGACTGTGGCGTCTGCCTTCATCCCTTCTTAAAGTACAGAGTCAATATTAAAGTCCCCATTTTCTCAGGGCTCTGGATAGAAGAGGCGGGCACACGGCTCTAAGCAGCACGCCTCTTTCTGCGGTGATCAGCGGCCTCGGACATTAGAAGTAGGCAAAGACTCTATAGGTCAGGCCCCCCAGACCTTACAGCAGGTGCCTCGCTACAAGAACTCAAACTCTGCCACACATATGAACCCCTGTCAGCCGGCAGGCACGCACCGCCACATGGTGGTTCTGTAAACTCAGCGAAAGTGCCCTCTGATCATTTAGGCCCTCGGGCAGTGTCGGCATAAAAGGTTCACTCAAGATAAATGAAACCATGTTCTAGCAGCAGATTCAGCTAACTTTCTAGTCTTCAGATGACAGGACCTTCCACGTGTGGCCCAAACCAAGATCTGACAGAGTCCCAGCACTTGCTATAGGCCCAGGACTCTAAAGGGCATAGAACAGCACCTGGCACACAGTAGGGCTAAATATTTAGCAGATGACAGACAGGAGTCTTACATTCTTTTCTAACCAACCACATAGCTCAAATCTTCCTTCCAATGACAAATAATTTGTGACATTTCTAATGTGAAGTAACAAATAATCCTCTATTACTAGTTAGACGTAAAAATAAAGGGCTGTGCCGGCCTCCAGAGCTCACACGGCTCATTAGCATCTTTGGAAGGCTAAGGAACCACAACTAGAATAATCTCCCAGTTAGGGCACCTCAGATGTGCACTAGCATTGCCTAGGTCAGGGCACAGGCCTGGGTTGTGGGCTCGATCCCCGCTAGGAGCATGCAGGAGGCAGCCAATGGATGTTTCACTCTCACATTAATGTTTCTCTCTCCCTCCCTCTCCCCTCCTCTTTCTCTCTCTAAAAATCAACAACAACAACAATCTCACACCTTCTGTTAACATGAATAGAAATGTCAGGATCAACTTGGAGTCCAAACCAAATCAAAGCTCCTTCGCCTCTGAGAAGCTCTGCCCAAATTCTTGCCTTTGCTAGAGTCTGTTTCGAAAAGGTTCCGATCAAAGGTGAGGAAGGGTTGTCTGTGACATTGTATTGAAATGCTTATTTATCCAAATGATCGGGGGTTTTTGAGGCCCCTACAGTAACTCCTACAGTGTCAGTGAGGCAGAGGCTTTACAATCAGCTTGGCGAGGCCTCGATGAGGGTGAGTGGACTCTCTACTACAACCGCGAGACGAAAGGCTGTGTTAGGGACTGAGCTAATGTGAATGCAAAATGGGCCCCTCTGCTGCGCCTCAACTTTCTGAAAAGCTGAACTTACTTCATGAGATGAAATTTCACTGAATGGACAGTGGGATGATGGAGAGTTTGCTCTGAGGCGGTTTTTTAAAAGGAAGTCCGATTGTCATAGTAACGCTCTAAAAAGATTTTGATGCAGCCTTGGAATTGCTTCACATCCAATTACACAGGACATCCACTTGGGGTGAGAGATAAGTGCTTCCCTGACTGCAAACAGAGAAAGAAAATCCATTTACCCTTTTTAGCCAATTTATTAAAGCAGGGGAGAATTATTTTTAAAATGCAATTTCTGACTTCAAGTAGGAGTATGAGAAAAAAATGTCTTGGTGTACTTTGGAGTTTCCTAATAAAAGAAAAAATACTGCCAGAAATCTCAAGTATGAATTCTTTGGGAA